GTAATCATTTTTAGTAATTTTGTGGCAACTTTAACTTTTGTGCTTATTTATGAGTAATTTTGTAGCTACTATTATTTTGATTTTGTTGAAAATTTTTGTCAGGCAGCAATTAATGAACCGTGACACTGACAGAATCGAGAAATTAAAATAATAATTAAGACATCATTAGTAATGTATGTGTTATCCTGTTCTTTTACTTGATGACTGCTGGTGAGCAATATAAAGAAATACAATACTAGTTAAAGCACTGACCTAATGCACATAAGAAATGAAAATAACAGCATTAAACTATTAAACTCACTAAAAATATAACATCAAACCAACGATGATAAAAACTGAAGTCAAGCTGCCCTAAGACTCTTGTGATGATAGTCCTTTAAAAATAAAGAATAGATTAAGGTAAAGCCTTAATTGTCATTAACACAGCTACCTATACTCTTCTGGAACATTCATTCTCATTAGAAGGACTGATGATACAAAATACATACCCTTTAAAATGATACAATCATGGTATGTGCTACTGTATGTACTGACATACCATAACTTCTGCTAGACATAAGACAATAGCATTTGAAGACTTGCTGCTTGCAATGGCATAGAAAAACTACAAAAAGGTCTCAATAAAAAGTATATGATATAATAATAGCCATACTTTAGTGAGAGTGATTAGTAGACCTCTTATTGATGTAATGACAATAATACCAACTAATATGAAAGAAACATGTTGAGACCAAAATAAAACCTAATTAGTACCACAAGAAATGACAAAATAGTTCCTGAAGGAAACTCACGTCAACTTTAAATCCAAGCCAGTTGACTAGGATAGACAAGCCTCTAGTAACAGGATCTAATGGGAAAATGTATAAAGTTATGTAAATAAAAATCAATTATCAATTCATGTGACATTCAGTTATGAATGCATGTGACATACCAACTTTTCCAACCCTATCAAAAATGATGTTAATAGTACACTACAATGTAGATAAGATAATCACATATCTAAACATACACATATGAAAACTTTCCCTCACCATAATGATCTTGTACACACAATAAATAGAAAAAAAGTGGCCAACAATGTCATAATAGCGACCTTTAAGAGTCTTTGAATACACCACTCTGTCCTATAATGTAATGAAAATATGAGAAGAGAAAGAAATACAGAAATGAGCTTCAGTTTGAGGTAAAATAAATAATGAAACCTTTGTCTCTCTTAAGTCAACATAGTCCACAAACATTTGTCTACTTAACTCTTCAAGACTGGCCACTTCAGTTTGCAATGCACTGATATCTGAAGAGAGAGAGAAAGAGGAGGAGGGAGGAAGAGAGACAGAGAGAGAGGGGGAAGAGAAGGAAAATTGGGGGAAAGGGAGAAAGAGAAGTCAGGAGAGAGCAAGTGTGAGAGATTTGGATATCATTTCTTACTCTCTGAACTTGAAGAGCTTATTCCAGAGAATATGTTCCACATTTTCATCATCCTCTTTCCTCCGCTACTCTGTGACATACTATCATCTTGATATCTTAAACTGCTACAAAAATAAATTGACTAATAATAATCATAATCATTACTCATAAAAACTTTACTTCTCTTTCTTTGCTAGAGCAATTCTAATGGAATAGAGCAATCATATTATTTAGGGTATCAATTCCCCTAACCTTTTCTTCTTTGAGATGATCATGTCCATTGTCTGCAGTAGTCTTCTCTCTGAATTTGAAATCTCTGAATCATCAATATTTCTGAATAAAACAAGAATATATAACTTTATGAGAAACTAAAAGTGCACACAATATATTATATATGCATACTATGTGCCATATAGTACAAGTACATGTAAGTAATGCAGTGTTAGTTTGAAGTCCCTATAAGAATGCTCAGTTGTAGTCCTGATGGATATACTTACCTGATGAAGTAGGCCATGTATGTATAGGGGGCATTGACAGCACCAAAACCAGACAATATACCAATTATTGTTACACCAATCACTCCTACTCTACTTATTGGCTGTTCAATTGAGAAAATACCTGTACAAAGCAATAAAGACTAGGGCATCGTAGCTTGTGTACTGTACCGTGTTTCCGGTTTAAAATGGGAAATGGGTCTCCAAGTTTCCAAAAGAAATAAATAAAAACCAGCCAAATTGCAACAGATACCCATATTGACATTTTCCTACGTACTACAGAAAGATAAACAGCATAAATTAATACACAAACTCAGAGTTTCCCTACAAAATTTTGGCACAATGCTCAGCTCAAAAATTGGGCCAAATATAGTACAGAGTATTTCATCAAAAATGGCAAATAAAAATTCTCCATTTTTATATTTTTTTCTGGTACATATACATGTTCTTATGTTGTTTATCAAGTTTGAGCTGATTCCAATCAAAATTAAATTTTTTATGAATTTTTAAAATTACTCAAAAATTGGGCTAATGACCAAAGGCTATAGCCTTTGGTCGTTGGCCAAATTTCATCAAAAATGACTAGGAGAGAATTCTTCATTTTTATAATTTTTTCTGATACATATACATGTTCTTATGTCATTTATCAAGTTTGAGCTGATTCCGATCAAATTTGGATTTTTTATGAATTTTTAAAGTTACTCGATAAGGTGTATGCTATTATGAGGTTTCTCAACTATACATGAAACTCTTAGCATGCCTTGTGGAAAACCCAGCACAAGCTAATTCATACATGTACATGTACATTATGTACACATACCACAAGGAAGGACTCTGGCTATTTGGCTTGATATGTACAATGGGATTACCACAATCAGAGTAACTAGTATGAGGTAGAGGTTAAGCTGCCAATGAAAATAACGCGAACTAGAAAAAAACAAAAGAAAGTGATGATGTGCATGAAGAGATGAGAGTTAAAATTAATGGTTTACTTTGAGTCCATAATGCCAAGTATTTCAAAGATAATTAATTCAAACATTGTACACGAAAGGGCAAATGTGACTGAAAACAAAACTTGTACAAACATGTTACGAATCTGTCGAAATAATTAATGGTCAATTAATATTATAATATATAAATTATTTCATTATTATTTAAAATTAATTATTAAACCTCATAAAATTTGAAGAGTTTTCTCATGAAAAATAGCCAACCAAATCCAAAAAATAATGTCTAAAGAGAAGAAAGCAATAGCATACGTCAAATAACGGACTAACTTGTGTTCCAAACATCAGAGCTGAATCCAGTAAAAAAGACGCCATCTTAAAATTTGGGGGTTAAAAACTTAAAATTAAAACTGTAAAAATTAATGGTTATTAATAAAATTTTCTTAAAAATCAGATCATAAAATTAATAAAGCGTAAAATCATAATATTAAATAGACTAACTATTATCATAATACACAATTAAAAATTTCAAATAGCCATGAGTCGTCAGCTACTGCCATTCATCATCTACTGCCTCCCCTTTTTGAGACTCTCCTCGTAATCTTTCACTGCTTGTTCTTGTCGTCTTGTTTCTATGGATCCCTTACGTCTTTTCCTGGTCTCCACAATAGCATCGTCAGCTGTATATCCTTCACTAGCAACAAGATAGCATGCTAGTATAGTCCCTGTACGACCACAACCCATCGCACAATGAATACCAACAGGACCTTCTGACTTGTCTATTAAATCCATTATCTTTTGAATCTGTGATATGAGAAGAGAGAGAAGAGCTTCCAATTGGCATATAAAATCAATATTGATGCAATTCAATGAAGTACATCACTGGAGTTGCATCAGTTGCATATACAGTGAAACCTGCTTAATCCGGTCACCCTTGGGCCAGTTTTAAATGGCCTGATTATGCAGATAGCTGCATTACAGATCAGCCTCTGTAATACAGCCATTTAGTACGGGATTTTGGCCCTTATGGCTGTAATAGAGAGGTGGCTTCATTATTCAGGTGACCTTTAGGACAGGTTTTACTGTACAAGCAACATAACAGATATGATATAATCTTGCCTGTTCCATAGATGGTGGGCAAAAGTCAGGTATATCCTCTGTAATGCATCGAATCCCCAAGGATTCTGCGACTTTTTGGTAGGATGCGGGCTCTGTTGTTAGGTTTACCAACACCCTGATTCCCTGATCGGCTAAGAATTGTACTGCATCACCTTCAGGCCAGGGCATACCAGCTAGCTTCCCTTCTATAAACCACGAGAACCTTGAGCTAAAGCTCCTTCGAGAGAAAGCCATTTGGAATTGGATATCAAGGGCATGCAAGGCGTGGACTAGATCTACTTTGTCAAAAATTAATTCCATAACAATACATCTATGAATTTTCAATACAATTTACATGGACATGGTAATTAAAATGGGTTAAAACTTAAGAACTTTAAGAGTTTGAGAGAAATAGATCTAATGATAGCTCAGTCATAATTTTGTGATGTGAGAAGCTGCTACATAATTACCTAGCTGCCAAACTTTCAAAAAAAGCTAAAATGAAAAGGATTCATGGTCTTTTCAAAATAAGTGTAGTATTGAGCAAGGTAAATAATTAAAATCCATCGTTATGTGCTATGAATAGTATTTTTGCATCCTTGGATATAACTGGTGATAAAATTGCATGTCAGGTTTCAGTTTCTCAATCAATTTTGCTCTAATGTTTTCGTCAATTTGATCATAGTAAGAACTGTAATTGAACTGTGCTGCTGGTTTAGGCATCAAACTCGCTCCAATCCTCACATCGTTGAAATAAAAGTCTCTTGGGATCCCAAAAACTTGCAAAATATAGTCCATGTCGTAGCTAAGACTGTGGAAGTTTGGATAGAAGTCATACTTTACCAGGCAAGGCTGACAGATATCGAGCATTGGCTGGAAATGATTATCCATTAAGTGCCTGTACTCAATGAAATATTGTACAAACTCCTTGAAAGTTGGCACCATGCTATCAATATCATCACTAGCATTCTTATTAGTGTCTGATGGGAGTCTAAACTCTCTTATAATATCCTGTCTAAGGTTGAGGAAAAATTTGCTTCTCATGTTCCTTCGGCTGATCTTATTCAAATAAGAACTTACTAGTCTCTCCAGTGGGTCCCTCACTGGCATGTACTTGTAATAGCTTCTCATTCGAGCTTCTCTTTTGGTTGCGGAAAGTTCCCAGAGGGTTTTGACATTACGCAGATGGCTCTTGTGTGATACACTCAAGTTTCTGACCAGTAGATCTTCTAGAGTGTAATGTTCCTCCAAGAGAACGAAGAGGAGTTTCATTTTAGTGCAGCCAATTTTAGGAACGACGCAATAGATAATGCCATACTTATCATTGTATATCAAGTGCTTGTAAAGCATTTCATTTTGTTCCCTAGAATAGTTTAAAAGACTCCCATTGATGCCTAAGCAATAATTTGACATAGTTTCTTGTTGCCACTAAAGGATTAAAATATTCACATCAACTTTAGCAACAGTAGGAATACCTCACTTCTGGCCACTACATCAGGGAAATTACTGGGCTTATTACCACTGGAGTTAGTAGCTGCATTAAACAAAACAAAATCAATAAATCTTGTCTTTATATACTTACTTAACAGTACATCTGGAATCTCTTGTACCCTTTCAACCATGTGTCCTCTACTCTTAATTATATCTACATGATACAGGTGATAGTCTATAATATTATCTTTTACAATAGGCTCAAGTTACCTTTAGCAATGAGTAAACTTTGAACCAAAAGTAGATCTACCTCCGGCCTTTTCTTCTTCCCATAGTTTCTAAACAGGGTTAAGATGAAAAGGCTGAATATACTCAGTAGTATGATAATTGTAAACAATCTCTTCACCAACGACATCTTGCTCTACCTCTAACAGCCAGGCCAAATCAACAGTTGCAAATTCAACTACTGTAGAGCTAAGACACTAGGGTATGTGCAGGAATGTTTTGAACATTCCTGCATATTTTAATTGTTGCTACAAGCAGCACAATTAACAAAAATTTTGCTTCTATGGCTTACTGAATAAGCCATAGAAGCATAATTAGATATTATCTTTTACAAACCCACATCATCTGATAACATCATAGAGAGTGATGACCTATTCATTTGATTCTCAACAGCTATTATGAATTTTTACATTTATTACTGTCTCAATGATCATAGCTCAGAATGGTGCTAAAGTTTGTAACAATCAATAACTAAAGTCCAATTAATTGGAGATCAATGGCGAACCATACAAGACAAGGTATGCTTTCTCCAGTAAAATTACTATAACTGATAACTAATATGTAATGTGAGAAGTTGCTGCATATCTAGATAGCTGCCAAACTTTCAAAAAGCTAAAAATGAAGTGAATTCATGGTCTTTAGACAACAAAAAAAAGAACATTATTGAGCAAGTTAAAATATATCATACATAGCATGGATGTATATTGAATGGCTGGCACATAATTCTTCTTATGTGCTATGAATAGTATTTTTGTGTCCTTGGATACAACTGGTGATAAAATTGCATGTCAGGTTTCAGTTTCTCAATCAATTTTGCTCTAATGTTTTCGTCAATTTGATCATAGTAAGAACTGTAATTAAACTGTGCTGCTGGTTTAGGCATCAAACTTGCTCCAATCCTCACATCGTTGAAATAAAAGTCTCTCGGGATCCCAAAAACTTGCAAAATGTAGTCCATGTCGTAGCTAAGACTGTGGAAGTTTGGATAGAAGTCATACTTTACCAGGCAAGGCTGACAGATATCGAGCATTGCCTGGAAATGATCATCCATTAAGTGCCTGTACTCAATGAAATATTGTACAAACTCCTTGAAAGTTGGCACCATGCTATCAATATCATCACTAGCATTCTTATTAGTGTCTGATGGGAGTCTAAACTCTCTTATAATATCCTGTCTAAGGTTGAGAAAGATTTTGCTTCTAATGGTCCTTCGGCTGATCTTATTCAAATAAACACTTACTAGTCTCTCCAGTGGGTCCCTCACTGGCATGTACATGTAATAGTTACTTATTCGAGTTTCTCTTTCGGCCGCGGAAAGTTCCCAGAGTGTTTTGACATTACGCAGATAGCTCTTGTGTGTTATACGTAAGGTGCTAACCAGTAGATCTTCCAGAGTGTAATGTCCTTGCAAGAGAATGAAGAGGAGTTTCATTTTAGTGCAGCCAATTTTAGGAACAGCGCAATAGATAATGCCATACTTATCATCGTATATCAAGTGCTTGTAAAGCATTTCATTTTGTTCACTGGAATAGTTTAGAAGACTCTCATTGATGCCTAAGCAATAATTTGAGATAGTTTCTTGTTGCCACTAAAGGATTAAAATATTTACATTGATTTCACTCGTTCTAGCGACAGTAGTAATACCTCACTTCTGGCCACTACATCGGGGTCGTAACTGGGTTTACTACCACTGGAGTCTGTAGCTGCGTTAGACAAAATAGAAACAATAAAGCCACTTGTCTTTATACTGGTATACTTACTTAACAGTACATCTGGAATCTCTTGTACCCTTTCAACCATGTGTCCTATATTCTTCATTATATCTATAACCATGATGCAGGCTGTCTATTACTATTATTATGATAGGCTCAAGCTAACCTTTAGTGTAAATGAGGAAGCTTTGAACTGAAAGTATCTCCGACCTTTTCATTTCCTTCTTCCCAAAGTCTCCGCTAAACAGGGTCAATATGTGAACAAGAAGGCTGAGTACACTCAGTAGTATGAGAACCCTAAACAATCTCTTCACCAACGACATCTTGCTCTACCTCAAACAGGAAACAGCCCGGCAAGCCAAATAGCACTGAGCTGCAAATTAAAAAATATTTTTACAAATGGACTAGATCTACAAACCATAGATACTCTTCCTGTGGTTTTTAGGCCTTTGCTTGAAGGGCTTTGTGGAAATAGCTGTGTACTCTTATAGATATCTATGGTACTATGTAGCTCAGAGGAGATAGGACACGGTTGAATGAGCAATATAGTTGCCGCAAAGTTCCGCGCCGTGATCGGTATCTACATATCACAAAGAGTAGCCTACTACTGTGCCTATACCCCCTGCTTCATCACGTCGTAGAATTGAAGAGTCACATTCAGGATATTTTCAGTATTTTAGAGTAGTTATTCAAAAATAACTAGCAATAACTATAACTACTCAAATAAAATACGGAAATATCCTGAATGTAACTCTTCAATTCTACAACGTGATGATTGATGAAGCAGGGGTATAGGCACAGTAGGACACTCTCCTCTAGTAATTATTATCTATTCTTGATATCACGTGATGAAAAATGCCCAAGAATTTTCACTAGTACCACCACTTCCAAAAATAATTTAAAGCATCAAGATAGAGCCAGTAGGACTTTTATTACTTCACTAGAAACTATGATGGTTGCAGTTATCTTTAATATCTTAACTAGAAAAGATTGATTTATCTGATGAAGTAAAGAAGAGGATAAAAGTTAAGATGCACCGTCTCTTTCTCCTTCTTATATGCATGTCTATAATCAACAAAGAAATATTCTCCATAAAATTGTGATTTTAACAACCGTCGAGGGTCGTCATAGATTTCTCTAGTTTCTGCAGGACAGCCTGTCTTGTGATACAATCATCAGAAAGCTGCCATTTTTCACCACGTGATACCAATGGAATGCAATAATGAACTTTATTGTTCAAATTTCAATCTTGTTCTACCTCATCTAGTACAACAGGTGTTCATATTACTACCTCCTTGGAATTACAAAAATCCATTATAGCCATGAATATGTCAATTTGTACGAATACAAAGTGTCTAAACTTGACTTTATTGTATTATTCAATACAATAATAAAAGACACATTATAGTGAGGAGAGATAAGATAGAACAACACACCTGACATGCAATACGAACCACACGACAGTTTTGGTTTAGTACAGAAATAAAATATTACTTTTTAAAATTTAGTTACGACAACACTACAAAAATGGGAAGAACACATGAACATTCTAGTTAACTGGATGAATCGTCTTTCCATTTAGTGAGCTAGCAGATATGGCAAATATATTCTTAGCTTTACGATAGCACTGGAAAGAGACGGCGGTCAAAATACCAGTCAATAATATTCCAGCAATCAATATCCACATCTCAACAAAGTAGCTATTGACAATGTATATTCTCATAGCAGTACTGGTCCACCTAAATGTATAATAATCAAACATAAATTCCTATAATTGGTCAACAAAAATTAGAGAACATGAACCTACTTGTACTGTAGATGTACATATACACTACATGAGGTAATAGTAATTTTAAAATTGTTTCTTTTACCAAGAATGGCAGATATGTACATCTAAATGGTAATTCACACTGACCTGCTCTCAGCCCAAGTGGAGTAATAGTCTGATGAGTAGTTCCCATCAATGAAAGCTGGCGATGTTGCAGTGTGCATGTGAGTATAAGCCTTAGTACAGGCACAGTTCGACTGATTCAATAAATAATAAGTCTAAAGGAAAAAAAAAACAGAGAGAAAAGATGGTTTTAATATTTATATGATGATGACCAAAAATCAACTCAAACTTTCTAAAATGTACATACTAGCATGTACATGTACTTCTGCTATAATTACATTAAAAAGTTCCTTAGTCAGATACTACCATACCTCTATATTATCAGGAGTGGTGCAGTTAGAGCCACAGCCAGTATAGGGTATGCTTTCTCCAGTAAAATTACTCAATAACTGATAAGCAACATATGTCTCTGTGTTGGTGACGGTATTGACAGTGACATAGCGATACATCGGCTTTGGTACTAGGAAAACAAGAAAAAACAAATCAAAAGTTGAGTTACTATTCTATTTATAATAATTGTACATTATGATTGCAAGTTTTGTAGCATCTTAGGTGCATGGCTTACACAGGACGTCCTCAACATTTGAACTAAAAAGTCCTTTAAAGAAATCACAGTCAGAGTTCTGCAAGAAGCAATGCAGTAGTTGAACGATGAGTTCAGTGTCTGGCTCAGGCAGTGAGGCTGTTAATGGATTTGGACCGGATAATGTCAGAGCTGCCCGAGCAATTGAGCCAGCAAGGTTAGCCAACTGTAGAACAAGTGGATGGGAGGAGTCCAATATACCATCAGGACCAATCAGATTGTCAAGTATATCGTAGCGGGAACCAAAAAATCTAAAAAAAGAAAATTAATAGCAAAAATTTAAAATAGTTTTATTTACTTGTTATTGTATTGCTGATCAAAGTCAGTGACTATGACAACAGGTACTGACTGGTTCTCCCTGAGGAACATTTGAGCTGATGCCGGAGGCAAAGGAAGACTAGAAGAGGAACTCTGGAATGACACATTATACTGATCAGCTCCATTCTGGAGTGCTGAGACTAGGGACTGTATGGAGAGATAATTAATAATACAAATCAATTAATGTTTAATGCTCACTTGTTGGTCATTATGATGAAGATAGTAAACTGGTGAAGTTGTCTCTCTCTCTGTTTGTATTCCAACTTGACTTAACTCAATGAAAGCCTTTATCTTTGGTAAACCAAACCTTGGAGGTTGCTAAAGAAAGAGCAAGGGAGACAGATCAACAAATGTCATGAAGTCAATGTGCACCTGCTTGCTACTGTCATAACTGTATGGGAACTCATTATTAATCATGTCATACACCATCCTTGATGAACCAATGTAATCATAACTTTCCTATAATAATTACACCTTATGATAAGAAGGGAATTTTCATAACACTCTTACTCCTTGAAAGAATGTGAACATAATGGAATCAGTTGTGTTGATGAGGGACCCCTAAAGAACAGAGAGAGAGGGGGGAGGGAGGGGTAGGAGAAAGGATGGCCTAGAGTGAGTACATGATTAGCTAAATAACTAACGTTTCTCTTCATGTCTCCTAGTAGCTTTGCAATGGTCAATAGAGTCACAATGCCAGCCATTTCATTATTAGCTCCATAAGCAAGATATGGAAAGAAAGCACTGCTATCCAGCTGGAACAAAAAAAATACATGTAGGCATGTGTATGTAGATAATGGCTATACATTGTATCTCTTAAATACATGTACATGTACACAGGGGCGTAGCTGAGGTAGGGCCTGAGGGGGCCTGGGCCCTACCATCAAAGTGGCCTTATTGCCCTTATAATTATATTCATTGAAATTATAACCCAAAAGATTATATTCATTGTTCTTACAATAACAAAAGGGGGTGACTGATAACCACAGCTCTTTTTAAAGCTATATACAATGATAATTTCACTCTGATTTCGCTCAGCTTGCAGGAAAATGCTTCCATTTTGTTACGTAAAAGGGTGTGGCCAAAATCGCGGCACACTTCGCGCGCCATTTTGTCTCCTTGCCCTACCATCACCCAAGGTCCAGCTACGCCCCTGCATGTACATACATGTATGTACTCAGAGTTTTCAACAAAGCAGGTTAAGTGAGCTAAGAGGCATGCTCAATGAGCTGACAAGCACTACAACAGACATGAACATGCTTTTAGAGACACTTTCATTAAAAATTCGTAAAAAAATCCAATTTTGATCGAAATCAGCTCAAACTTGCTACACAACATAAGAATATGTATATGTATCAGAAAAAATTATAAAAATAAAGAATTCTCTCCTAGTCATTTTTGGCAAAATCTGGCCAAAATCCCTGTACTATAGGTCAATTTTTGAGTAACTTTTAAAATCCGTAAAAAATCCAATTTTGGTCGAAATCAGCTCAAACTTGTTACACAACATAAGAATATGTATATGTATCAGAAAAAATTATAAAAATAAAGAATTTTCTTCTAGTCATTTTTGATGAAATTTGGCAAAATTCCCTGTACAGGGACTTTAGGCCAATTTTTGAGTAACTTTTAAAATCTTTAAAAAATCCAATTTTGGTCAAAATCAGCTCAAACTTGCTACACAACATAAGAATATGTATATGTATCAGAAAAAATTATAAAAATAAAGAATTCTCTCCTAGTCATTTTTGGCAAAATCTGGCCAAAATCCCTGTACTATAGGTCAATTTTTGAGTAACTTTTAAAATCCGTAAAAAATCCAATTTTGGTCGAAATCAGCTCAAACTTGTTACACAACATAAGAATATGTATATGTATCAAAAAAAATTATAAAAATAAAGAATTTTCTTCTAGTCATTTTTGATGAAATTTGGCAAAATTCCCTGTACAGGGACTTTAGGCCAATTTTTGAGTAACTTTTAAAATCTTTAAAAAATCCAATTTTGGTCAAAATCAGCTCAAACTTGCTACACAACATAAAAATATGTATATGTATTAGGAAAAATTATAAAAATAAAGAATTCTCTCCTAGTCATTTTTGGTGAAATTTGGCAAAATACCCTGTACTATAGTACAGGGACTTTAGGCCAGTTTTTGAGTAACTTTAAAAATCCATAAAAAATCCAATTTTGGTCGAAATCAGCTCAAACTTGCTACACAATATAAGAACATGTATATATATCGGGAAAAATATAAAAATAAAAAATTCTCTAATAGCACTTTTTAGAAAAAACCTGCATAGTACATGTATATGGTATTTTGTCAATCTTTGAAGCAACTTTTAAATCTGTCGATAAAATTTGGTGGGAAACCCAACTCAACATACTTTTGTTGCTATCATGATGACATTTTGTTCTTGTCTGAGTTCAAACAGAGTGCCCCACACATTCATGTCCCCCAGTGGATCACAAGGGGCTGTTCCAAGATTAGTCCATATTCTCCCTCGTTGAAAACACTCTGGAGTGCTACCAACAGACTGCATGTCAGCCTGAAGATAATGAGAGAGAGAGAGAGAGGAGAAAAAAGGAGAGAAAGAGAGAGAGAGAGGTCAATGGTATAAATGGCATAAGGGGAGAAAAGAAGAGATATTAATTTATAAAGAAAGAGGAAGCCATTACCATTAGTTCAGCAGTACAGAGTGGATAATCAGCTCGATTGTTTTCGTAAAAAGGTGCTCCATTTAATGGCAAGTTGTTGTCCCTGTAGCACTAGAGAAGCACAAAATTTGAACAGTCAACCATCAAAAAAATACAAAAGCTACCTCATATAAAGAATTGTAAGACTCGTTTGATGTTATAGCAAATATGGCAAACTTGTCAAAATTGACAAAATTTAAACTTGTTCCCTAAAGAAAAAACTAAAAAATAATTCATATAAACATGTCTCACATTATTCCAATTTCTACATTGAGAAGATCCTGTAAAATGACAATAGCAATAGAAAAAAATTAGAGAGAATAATTAGAATTTACCAAATCCATTATTTGGGCAAGGCTTAGCTGGCGAAAAGTTTAAAATATCTAAGAAAAAAAATTAAGAAATTAGCATACATGTACATACATGTATATATGTAGATGCACAACTAACCTGATGGTATGGTTGCATTCTCTTGTATGTAACGTATTATAATACCATTAACAACATCAGAATTATACAACTGTAATACGTTAGAACTAAAGAGAAGTGAATGACAAGTACACACACACATGTACACACTATAAGGGGTACCTGGTGAATAATTCAGGTTCCAGGACAACTATATAAGGTTTGTAATAATGATAGCTTGATATTAAATAATCTAACGAGGACTGAGTATCAATGAACCAAACACGACCACTGACATTGCGAGGTGTAGCTATAAAAATAAATAGCCTTTTCACTTTAGCTAGTCATTATAGGGTTAAAAATAGCAATAGTGTATGAACAGGTCTTAAATCTATGTCGACATATTTATGCATGAAATAACAGTTCTAAGTGTGCAGTTAGTGGATCCGTGACTCACCAGAGCATCCAATCTGAGACGTAGCGTTAGTGAGCCTGAAGCAAGGGACTATGCCAGATATCTCTGTGTATATCTTCTGATAGACAGTTTCAAGACCAGCCGTTAAAGAAACTGTAACAAAGGAATAAAACCTACTATAAATGCAACGAGAGAAAGGGTAAATTACCTAAAAATAAGAGAGAAAAAGTTAAGGGAAAGGAGAGCCTCATTTTCACTTAAAGGGCGTGGCAAATTATATTAAGAAGGCGTGGTGATTTATTTAATTATTATTGACAATGAATAATTAATGAGAGAATGATTAGTTGAGTATTTTCTTCACTTCTAAAAGGGAATTTGCAATGCAGTCATTGACACTGACACCATTATATGATGCTCCGAGCAAAGAAATTGGTAAATCTTTAATACAATCATTGATAACATCTACAAAGTAGCATATAAAATTTACAAAAAAAAAAAATTCAAGACCTCTTACCCAGTCTTTGACTATGTCCAACAGTATATTGAGGAATACATGACTAGATAATAAAAGAAGTAAGTACTGACTTGTATGCCATCTTCATACCTTTTGTATTGTAGCAATGCAGTCTAGTGGATCTGATGATATGCCAAGTTGAGTATGAAGTGATTTTAATGCAATATCTGACAAAGTACTGCTTCTTATGGTCTCCGGGTCACCAAACAGCTCTTGAAACCACTCCCCTCCCATCATTACCTATAAACAAGTGCATTATAATTTTAGCTGTGTACATTTTATACTCCGTTACTGTTAGTCTGGTGGTTGGAATGGCTTCTTTCCTATTAAGTTCAGGAAAAGTGGCCGAGTCAAAAACTGTTCCTAAGATATCTGATTTTTGGTGAGATGGAACCAAATACCCAAATGCCTGTATATGCATCCAGAGAGCATGACTACACTTTCATTTTTGACATTACTTCTCTCCATTGTTTAGGTACAGCACCACCTTCAAATTCAACATTAACAACAGCTACATCAACTAATGGTATTGAGCTCAGACTAGAGCATAATTTTGACTGGTTGGTTGGTAAAATTTTTGCCAGCTCTATTGTACAGGTGTGACATTCAGTAAAAACAATTTGTACTTACGTTGAGCTGAAATTGTAGCTATTACATGATCTGCATTATATTCCTGTCCATTAGTTTTTATCTAAAAATTGTGCATTTGCCAAATATTATAATTTAGATGACTCACTATAGCTTTATTATTAGCACCAAATGAAATGCTAGTAGCAGGTGTGTTAGTACGTATGAGAACGCCAAGTCTCTCAGCCTCTGTCTTCAGTGTATCTGTAAGAGTCTGTAGTCCATTCTCTAGCGTATAGATCATCCATTTCTCTTCCTTTGACTTAATGACAAGTTCATTGCTATCAGCATCACATTTCTCTGCAGAAAAAATAATAAAAGGTATTATAACAAGAATTAAGAGGCTTACCATCACTTCCTCTTAGCATTCCTTTGATGATAGACCCATGCTTCTGTTCGTAGCCATGCAGTAAAGGAAAACACGATTTGAGACTTAAGCGTTTTGAATCACCAGCAAAAATCCCACGACACATAGGATTAATGAGCCAGTGTGCAACCTACATTGCAAAATCTACACTGAATATATTGCTTAATAGTTGCTTTACATCTAATGTACCTCAGCTCCAAATCTCCTGCTAATAAACTGATGCACACTCTCATCTCTTCCCTCAGGTTCTGCTTTAATAAACGGCTCTTTGGCTACAGCTGCTAGCAAAGGTTTGGTGAACGGCGGCTTTGTTTTGAATAGCCATGAAACATTTGACGGCAGTTCGACTAGTTTGTGTCGGTTTGTGTATATGAGACGTCTCTGAGCTGCTTTGTGTCCTCTCTTGATCGGAATAACCTTTGACTCTAGACCTAACTCTGACATCTATAAAGTACAAAATAAATTATGCAATTTTATTACAATGCTTGCCATAGCTAATGCAGTCTTTCCCGCACTTCCTGCTACTCTCATGCTCCTTGGCCCTAGCTCATGTACAGCCCCATTGTTTGCCATTCTCTCACTGTTTATCCACCCACCCAGCCTCTCACTGGACTCTAGTAGAATTATTTCATGTTTTGAGCTACTTCTTGCCAGTGACCAGGCGCTGGTTAGTCCACTTATTCCTCCACCAAGGATTACAACTCTTTGCTTCATTTTGATGAAAGAGGGTGGAGCTAATGTGCGTGGGCGTTCTTTTGCTTTTGGGTGTGGCTCGTTATTAATTTTTACGCGCATGATTTATCATGGTGGTTCGATTATTCGCCTGATTCCTGCCATATTTTGACAGAGCAAGGAGGATAATGGATCTTGTTGTAAACTTCCTGGACGATGCTTTCTTGACCGACTACGTCTATCCTTCCTCACTCCCTGAAGATAATCCCATACGGCAAGCAATCACCCTAATGGGCATGTTCACCATTGGCGGGATGTTCATGTACCTCTCTGTCGCCTGCCTCAGTTATTTCTTTCTCTTTGATCACAAGCTGAAACAGCATCCTCTCTTCCTCAAGGATCAAGTCAAGCTGGAGATAAAGTACGCCTGTAACTCGATCCCTTTCATGTCCCTCCTGTCTGTTCCCATAATGCTAGCTGAAGTCAGAGGGTACAGTAAGCTCTACATGGGGATTGAGGGATTGAATGGATGGGCATTCATTGGATTGACCGTAATAGCATTCCTCATGTTCACAGACTGTCTCATATACTGGATACACAGAATGCTCCATTACCCGGTGATCTATAGAACCATTCACAAAGGCCATCACAAGTGGAAAGTCCCAACTCCGTTTGCAAGCCACGCTTTCCATCCAATTGATGGCTGGGTACAGAGTCTCCCTTATCACATATACCCATTCTTCTTTCCGCTCCACAAGGTCCTCTACCTTGTGTTGTTTGTCTTTGTCAACATTTGGACCATTTCCATACACGATGCTAACTACAGGGTACCAGCACTCTTGAAACCTTTTATTAATGGCTCGGCCCACCACACCGATCATCATTTATTCTATTTGTACAATTATGGGCAGTTTTTCACTCTCTGGGATAGGATCGGAGGCTCGTTCCGATATCCGTCAGCATTTGAAGGTAATAGCATACTGAAAGATGTTGCAAATAAAGTAACTGAAAACTCTTGCAAGAAGCTAAACTAATGTATATCTATATGTGTTGTATTTTTCCTAAAAGTAGTTGAATTTTTATTTAAAATTAAGATAACTTAGCTAAACTTCTCCCCATAAATGCGCATGCGCAGTATATTTAGGTGACACGTTGTTTCACGTGGCCGGATTATGGCTAGGTGTGGTTTGTTGTCATGACTACAAGCAGTTTTCCAAAATCCGAGCTAAAATCATGTCTCGTGTGAGAGAATACAGGTCAGGAGAGCCAATAAAGCCGAGCCCTTCTTTCCTCCTAGCCCCTTTGGACTGTTTGACGCCACACAGCGTCTCTGAACTCATAAAATCCTATTTTGACGAGTTTACAATGGAGGAACCAGCTCAGAGACTACAAATAGAGAAACAAGCAGAGTTCATCAAGGAAGCAGCCACTGAAGAAGGAGACGAAAAGACCAAAGAGGAAAATGAGGTGGCCAAGGAAAAGGATGAGGAAGTGCTCATAACTGAAGAAGATAATGAAGAAGTTGCTGTAGTTGATTCATCAAAAGATCCTCAACCTAAATCTTCCCTAGCACCACCACCAACAATACTAGTACCTCCTCCAGTAGTACCTGCTGCAGCAGTACCTGAAGATTTATCAACTGCTCTTATGGAATTAGGAGACGATAAGAGAAAAGAGGTAAAGACGATCTTTGGCATTACTTTTTTAATTTGTGCCCTCTCTTTTTCAGTATGTAGAGGCTTATCAGAAGAGAAACAGCACGTACGTCCAGATGGAGCAGAACATTCATTATGCCATATCCCGCCAGCTCTCTGATCAAGAGGCTCAGTTGAAATCAGCACGTAACACTTACCCTAACTTTAATAGTCTCTTCTTATTGCAACGTGAGTATACAGAGAGAAAGAGAGAGAAGGGAAATGTACATGTACAATTGTAATATGCATGTACATGTACATGTATTAGTGAAATCATAATATGTACACATGCACATGTATTAGTGAGATCATATGTACACTATATAATGTGGAACTTTATTTTAGAGCCTTGTCCAATATCGAAATATTTAAATGAGAAACTCTTAAAAGAAGGCGGACTGCTGGTACCCGGTGATTATCAACCAGTGACTACTAATGCTCCTTCACATCAGCCACCTCCAAGTTAGTCTCTAGTGGTCATTCATTCGATTGCACTTTTATATTGCATCTTAGAGGAATGGCCGGTTTTCATGCAAAGTACAGTATCATCAAATAAACGGGCAAAAGTTGACTCCTTGGCATTTAAGAAGTTACCACGCAAGGTAAAGATAAGATTAAAAGATTTATTATACTTATTTTCCAACCCTTCTTCTTCTTCTTGCTCAGCTTCCTCCTATCTGGAAGGACTCCATGTCTTCATTAGAGAGAGAGGAGGCTAAGAAGTCTTTGAAAGAGCTTTATAGGAAGAGAGACTTTATTCGGAGTCCAAGGCATCTTCCAGAAGAGTATCATACTAACACAGCGAGTTTTGGATCACTCAGGAAGCGTCAAGCAGGAGAGAAAGGAAAGCCGGTTAAAAGCAGTAAAGTGAAGAGATTGTTTCAGGCTGAACCAACAGAAGTTATATTCACAGACTATGTACCAGGGAAAACATATGAGGTGAGAATGCAATACATTATACCATTGTTCTTTTCATTCTATTTATTCCATAGTGTGTACTTCATCTTAAGAATATTAGTGATTCATGCCGTCATGTATCAATTACTGCACCTTCCACTCCTTATTTTAGAGCTAGTCTCAGTAAGCAATGTACTATCTCAATGGCCCATTATCATTATTATAATTTGTTACTTTCTAATAGTCCAGTTTCCAAATGCAGAAGGTATAATAGCTCCTGGTATGTCATGTTCGTACTCAATTAGTTTCACTCCGGACTCACTAGCTGATTTCTCTGATAAAATAAAAGTCAGTATTATACATGTACATGTACATGTATAATGTGATGTTACTATTTTTAGGTTTTAAGTCATGTTGGAGTTGTATTGAATGTACCACTTGTTGGTTATAGATCACCTCCTAATCTTTCATGTAAGAGTTGTATTGAACTAATTGAACCACACGTACATGTACATCTCTCTCTCTCTCTCTCTCAAAAGTATCATCAGAATGGCAGTGTGGTCATTGTCTGGTTGGTGGACATTCATCATTAACATTACACTGTACTAATAGTGGAGGAGAGGGAAGTTTCAGACTGACATTACCTGAAGATACCACCAATAATGATAATGATAAAGTATAATGTATTGTTTGTTCTATTTTCCATTATTGTTAATATTAGGATGATCTTAGAGTAGGCCCTTTCACGGTTAATCCTAGTCACTTCTTTCTCTCTAGAAATGAATCCATTAATATTGAAGTATGAGAGGAATATCACAGTCTTTCATTATACATACATTACATACTGTAGGTAACATTTGATCCTCAAGAAGCAATCACTTACTCTCATCAGCTCATATTAGTCTGTAGTAATGGGCAAACTAAAACTATCACAATATTAGGTATAAATACATGTACATGTACATGTGCATGTACATACTAATAGACTGTAAATGTGAATGTACTCCATGTACATGTACATATTATACATGTACTTACATGTACTTATCTAGGTATTGGAGAGATGGTTAAAATTGATTGTACATCAATCATGTCCTCAAGAGAAGATACATTGATCAGAGGTGATACTGATACTGATACTGATACTGATATTGTTAGTATTGATGATCCTGTACTGTTGTTTAATGACACTAATAATGGAGTTGAAGTACATGGGACTGTCGTAGTAAAGAATTTCAAGTAAAGGAAAGATATTAAGCAGTTAAAAGGGAATATCTTCTTTCTTTCTTTTAGTAATGTTCCGCTGTCATTTGAGTGGATATTCTATCACTCACGTACTGAACTAACTCATCATGATGGCAGTACAGAGATTACTCCTCCTTTGTCTCTTGACCCTCAGTCCATACCATTCACTATTGATGCACCCAAAGGATCTTTATCACCCAATGAAACTAAACCATTCACATTCTGCTTTACACCAAAAGAGGTAAGTGTACTGTATTTAATTGTGATTGCTACATGTACATGTGTGTATATACATGTAATTACTTACCTCTTTTTATAGGAAGGCAGTTTTCAATGTATGTCTTATCTTGAGTTGACTGGTTTGGCAAGGGATTGTCTCAATCATGAAGATGAGGGGGTGACATGGCTTAATATGAATAAAGATAATGACAATGATACTGTGAGGGCTGCTCTATTGTGTATCAATGTACAAGGAAATACTGAGGTAACATTTATATGTACATGTATTATCAAGTTTATAAATGTACTGTCTTTTTATAGCCTTATGCTCTTGAGTTTTCTCCTCCGTTTTTTTACTTTGTTGAAGATTTGCCAGCTTGTGCTGAGACTAGACAATCCTTTGTGGTACATTAACTAATGATTCTTGTAATGAATGTAACTGTAACTGTTCTCTTTAGATAAGGAATCATAGTCTTAGTAAAGTAAAGTTCTCCTGGTCTTCACTAAAGACAGAGGCTGCTTATATAAGTATTGAACCAAACAGTAGTCATATTAGTAAGTATAAGAGTTTTTAATCTTAGTAAATTATTATTTTTGTTTTTTGTTGTTATTTTTAGTGCCTGGAGGTAGCTGTTCCTGTGATCTCATTATTAATACTGGTACCAGGAAAGGCTCATTTGATGTGAAGCTTCAATGTCATGTAGAACATTCCAACACTCACTTTATGCTACCAGTTAGGGGGAATGTTAAAGTAAGATAGTATTGACATTATAATACTTTCCCCCTCTCCATTACTTGCAGGTTCCATTAGTGACAGTTAATGTTCCATCGTTAGATTTTGGACTCATAGAGTTAGGAGAGAGTGCTTCCCTTTCACTCAAAATTTCTAATTATTCGAATGCATTGTTGCATTATAAATTAAATCAAATAGTAGTACTATCAGAGGATAATAAAGATGGAGCATTACTACCTTTTGTGGTCAGTACTACTAGTACCGGTATGTACATGTATTGCATCAAATCTCATTCTTGGTACAGGATTATGAATGTTTGAGTATGAGTCCATCAGAAGGTCAGATGCCATCTTGTTCTTGTGTATCTATCAGTGTTGAGTGTTCACCTAAAGTGCAGTGTGGGAGACTAAGGACAACACTGGAATGCCTCATTGAAGGAGACAGAATGAAGTACATTATTACTCTTATAATAAATTATTTATCCTTCTTGCGTCTATATTTCCTTTTTTTCCTACTGTATATGTTGCTCTACAGTGTGTTGGAGGTTACTGCAGAGATACAGTGTCCAATGCTAATATTGTCAGAATCATTCCTTCACATTGAGAATTGTTACAGGAACGTACCAGTCACTCATACGCTGACACTCATCAACACTTCACAATTACACACTCAGTTTGAATGGATCAACGAAGAAGTAAGGGACATAAACACTTGCATGTGCAGTACATTAAAAATTATATTTTATTTGAATTTTAGAGAGATCATGTTGATTTGGTATTTTCTCCTGATCATGGACCAATTGGGCCACACGAGAGCATCAACATAGAACTCAAATCAACATGGAAGACTAAAGTAGGGAATATGTGCATAGGTACATGTACATGTACATTAATGCTCACCCTTTAAATGTTTCATGTACTGTACTATTGGTATACTGCATAGGGATATATTGCTGGCATGATTGCTGTGTGTTGTGCAAGGGGCATGAAGTATCCAGTAGTACTGTCACTCTCTGCTCATATATCAGGACTAACAGTTGAATATTCTTTATTAGCAAACGAAAATAATAACAAGTAAAATGATAATGTACACTTCACACTCCATGGCTTTATCTTGAATTTTTACAGTACTCTCTCGTTGCCACTGAAGATGGATTTTGGTTCCTCTAATTGTGTGAGGGAGCCTCAGAGCCTCCAGTTGATAGTAACCAACACTTCAGGAATATCCAGCCAACTCGCTGTCTCTGTCAGACATTTCCCTGCACCGCTGATCAATGGAGGAGTGAATAAAAGAAAGCACAAGTAAGTACATGTATTTCAATACATTTTTATTGCTAAAAATTGTACTGCCCCTCATTCATTGTGTGTGTGTGTGTAGATCAATGCTATTGAAGGCAACTCCTAACATTGCTAATCCTTCTAGCAAAACAGAGAAACAAGCAAAAGAAGGTTTGTGCATGTACATGTTAAATGTACATGTACATGTACATGTATAAATTACAATGTATTACTGTTATTCAATTAGAGTTGATCACTCAGCTACTGTCTGATGGTAGAGGTGCTTGTCTTACCATTGAGCCATCAAAGTGTCCGCTATTAGCTTTTGAGTCTAGGAAGATTAATATAACTGCTTATTCTGACATGTGGGGAGAATACACTGACCAGCTCATCTGTAAAGTAAATGTAGACACAATGTACTGTATACTGTACATGAACTCTATGTGAATGCAATGTACATGTATTATGTATATACATTATCATTATGTTCAGGTTGATGGTATTGATGCTCATGTCATTCCAGTCTCTTATGGTGTGACATCAAGTCCAATATACTTCCAACCAACAGCTACTTATGACAACACGCTCATCAGGTACTGTCTTAGCTAGTGATGTCCTTCATTGCTCTTTGGTTTAGGTTGGGTTGTCATCAGGTTGATTCAGAAGTGGTCAGACGGAACATTGTTTTTAGCAATGTTTGTTCATCAGGTATAGATCAGAGTTTACCATAGGATTTTGGCATAGTCTTGCGTGGTCAGACCATATGAGGCTAATTTTGGTATCTTAGTGCTCATGCAGCTTCTTGTCAATGGATTTTCAAGTTGCTCAAAAATTGGGTCAAGAGGGTATTTTGACAAAAATCTTAAGGAGAGAATTATTTATTTTTATAATTTTTTCTGATGCATATATATGTTCTCATGTTGTGTATCAAGTTTGAGCTGATTCCGATCAAATTTAAATTTTTTATGAATTTTTAAAGTTTCTCAAAAATTGGGCCAACGACCAAAGGCTATAGCCTTTGGTCGTTGGCCAAATTTCGTCAAAAATGACTTTGACAGAATTTCTCATTTTTATAAATTTTTTGGATACATATACATGTTCTTATGTTGTGTATCAAGTTTGAGCTGATTCCAATCAAATTTGGATTTTCTATGAATTTTTGAAGTTGTCATGAAGCATGCTGCTTAGCATGCTTTGTGGGAAACCCTGATGCAGGCAGTGCTTATTGTTATTATTTTGTGTAATTATACACATATACTGTACATTTACGCATCCTTTCTCTTTGTAGCTGTTCGTATTGATTGGAGGTCATTCATTTTTAATCCTCAAGATGATAAGATTATTGATTTAGTAACTTATGTCGGTCACCCCTTCCCTCTACAAGATAGTAAAGATGATAAACACAAACAAGAAGAAGAAGAAGAAGAAGAAGATCCATGTACAAGTACTTCTCCATTAGTAAGAGCACACATCTTCCCTCATGAAGGTAGCCCCACTAGTGACATACATCTAATACCAAATCAACTGGTTAGTCTGTTTGATTGCTACATGTACTTGTGTATATTTTATATTATTATTATCATAGATTGTTGAGCCTCATAGTAAGGCCAGTGTCACTTTGAGCTTTGACCCTAAAGCATCAGTTTATAGCACTGTTGGTGAACAGATCAATGGATATGTATTAGGATATATGACCCTATCTGACAAGGTATAGTATACTCTACTGTGTGACCTTCCCCCTTTTACTTGTACTTGTTTCTCTCAATAATAGCCTGCTCCATTTGCCAACAGAGCTCATGGATACAATATTCAACCTGTCAGGATCAATGTGTCTGCCTCACTCACACAACCAAAGTATGTACATGTATTTCCTTTTTGTTATCATTTTCAGTCTTTGTAATGGATCCCAATCCAATTGATAACAAACTCCCCATAGACTATAATGATCCTTCCAGTAAAATAACTACAGTACATGTACATGTACTTTTTTAATTGCAGTATGCTTGTTGCATGTGTGTAATTCTAAAGGGAGAGGCGGCGGGGAGTTTTGTTGTTTGTGTTTAAGATTGGTTGTACATGTAAGCATGTATTCACTTTCAGTTTGTTGTAACATTTGTTTGTCTTCTTATAGACTAACATTAAGGACACATACTGATGACAATGATTTGAGTTTTCAACACTTTGCATCAGATTTTATTTTCAATGGAGAAGTGAGTCTTTAATGCATAATTGTGCCCCCATTCTTTATCATTATTAATGTACAATGTGTTCCACTGTAGGTTAGTAAGAAGATGGTTCATTCCCACTCTTTCAGTCTTACCAATCTGACTCTCTCTAATCTTACATTCCGTGTACTCTCTTTATCTGAGCCACTGATGGTATTAATGAATAATGAAGAGGTTTATTCAACACTTAAACCAAGAGAAACTATTGAAGTACGTGCTAACTGAGAAACTTAATGTACTTTCTCCCCCACCTCTTTTATTTTTCTCTCTTTCATCTCTTAGGGATCATTACACATTTGTTTAACTCATGAAGCTTTCATGGCTCTTGTGAAAGATGAATCAGCACCAGAGGATCTGGTGACATTAAATGATTCACTTGTTGTTGAGTATTCTAACAGCATCAAACAGGTAAAGCACCATGTACATGTACTAATGCATATTGCACATGTACATGTTCATAGCATATAGTGTGCCGGCCTCACTGTGTTGTGTAAATTTAATAAAATAAACATGTACATGTACGTGTATGATAATGTTTTCGTCATAGGAATTCCCAATCAGTGTGAGAGTGTCTCTACCTTCCCTCTCAGTCTATCCATCTCATATCAATTATAACACTTGTTTGATTGGACACTCCTCATTGTCTAGTTTCCAACTGAGAAATACTTCGCATTCATCACTCAAATGGAATATCACACTACCAGAAAGTATGTGTAGATTGTGTGTTTATACTGTATGTTTGTTAGCAAGTGTTATCTATAGTGTATCTGTTTATGTATTCAGGAGTGCACTATGCATCTTACTAGTCTATTCATGTACAGTACATGTACATTTACATGTTGTTGTTGTATATATTTATCGCTGATTTATCGTTAATAGAATTATCAAGAGTAATACAGTTAGAGCCTAACTCTAATGTGCTCGATACTGGATCTGAAACTGTTCGGGTTACATTCACTCCTAGGTAATAGTTACACGTGTACATGTATTTGTCATCAATCATTGGTTTCATTGTATAGAGCTGAAATTAAATATTCAATTGAGCTCCTTATTACGGAGGAGATAACAGGAAAAAGTTTCACTGTTACTGTAACTGGTAGAGGCTCGTCTAACGAGAGATACAAGAGACATAGAAGGAAATGAGAGAAATTTTCATTTAAAGAAAAGACAGAGAAATTTATTTTATGCACATGTACATGTACATTGTAATTGTTATTGTTGCCTCATTACTGTGGTTTCATCAATATGGCCTCCTTTACACTCCCTGATTTATGTAGAAGTTCCATTATTGGGAATTTTAGACATTTTCCAACAGATTATCTTATGCTCTCTTTACCAAGGAGAGAAGTGGTTACCCTGCTATGCCTTCTTTCACCATTAGATCTTGTACAATTGGAAAATAACTTGGAATCTATTGCCACCAGGCATGAACTGACACAAAGTGACATGAACAAGTAGATCTTTATACATACATGTACTTGCATGTAACAAAAAACTTATTACTTTACTTGTATTATGTGTATGTTTCTATTTCAGAATATGGAGTTGCGTGTACAAAAGATGTTGGGATGTTGAAAGCAATGTATCATCAGATCAATCGAATTGGAGAGGATACTTCTTAGAGACAGTCACTCACTGGCTATTGAATAAACTAACTCTCATACACTCTTGTACATCAAAGGATTGTCGTGGCTCCAAATTTGACTACGTTCTTCGCGTTTTATTTGGATGTGGCTCGCCATTTGAAAACTCGTCAGCCACCAGCAGTGCTACATCAAGACTATATGGACTACATGTCATTTGTGGCCATTGTAAGCTAGTTATACCAAACTATAGGAGAAATGAATATGATATCCTTATTGATCTACTAGAAGAAGAAAGGCTTGTCAGATTAGCACAAATTATCATTGATGAATTTATGTATCGTCCGCAATCAATCAAAATCATCTTGGGGAGATCTCATTTGTCAAGACTTTACTCAAAATTCAATCAATATCATATCAATAGATTGGGAGCTTTTTTGTGTGAAGTTGAACACGCTACTTTTAAGCATGCTACGGAAACTAGCAATCCTGTTGTTAGCAAGATTGTGCAGTGTATATGTTCAAGAGAACACAAAACAAAGAAAGTGAAAATGACACTTGTCAATAGTAATCACAACAGTGACTCCTGGAATGTAACACTTCAGAACTTTACGCAAGATGTTATCTTAGAAATTGTTTGTATCTAAAAGTTTCTAGTAATTATTATTAGTAAAGCAGCATAAAAATAGTTAATGTACACTCAGGTAATAACTCATTGTCCGCCCGGTATATCATTTCCCAATTTGAAGTCATGCTCGAAAACGTCTCCATAAAATTTAACAAGTGAAGGATTTTGCATTATTACCAGCATGTCACGGTTGGCAGCCTTGGATGGTGGCCATTCCTTGCCTATGGGGAAATCTGACTCTGCCCAATTACCTGTTGCAGTAGTATGGTTGTGCATTATCAAGTGTAATGGTGTTCATACCTGTGCTCAAGTGGACTTCTTTGTCATCAATTATCCAGTACTTTTGATGAGAGAATAAAAAACTGTGACTTGACTTGCGTATGGTAATCCCGTTATTCGTTAGATTCCTATAGCAATGCTAATCAATGCAATAAAATAATTAAAATCTAATAGTATGAACTTGCCATACTTCTGTGTATTTTTTGACTGCTCCAGCAGTGTTCCAGCTCACCAGCAGAGTCACATTAATTCCATTTGTATTCTTCAAATCGACAATTTCTTTGCATATCTTAGCACTAGTAATAGCATAGATATGGACAATTAGTTTCGATTGGATGTTTTGCAATGATCCCATAAAGGTTTTCCTCGCATTGTCTGGTGCCACATATCCAGAGATTTGTACATCATTGAAGTCTTGTAAAGCCATCGTTGTTTGGATATCTGGAACACGTTCACCTGGTGGCTTCACAATGGGATAAGGGTAAAACGCTGGATCTCTCATGCTCTTTAACTGGTCGTCAGTGTATTGATTATCAAAAACATAAGGATCGGCTATTTCCCAGTCACTTTCAAACACCGTCTGATATAATTTCAATGTTTCACAGTCACTGCATTGAGATATGATCACTCCTGACTCCCTATTCTTCATGAATGACGTTTTACTGTAATTCACTGACGAGATGAGAGTTTTCTTTCCCCCGTCAATGAAGGCATACTTTGCATGAAGGAAATATGTCGTCTTGTACATTCTTACTGATATATTATTCACAGCAAGCCAGTCTAGCATTGTTGCTTTCTCAGGCCAAGTGGTAGAAGAGTAATTATTAGTGAGGATCCTAATGCTCACGTTTCTCAAGTTGATGGCATTGAGAAGAGCTGCAAAGACCGGAAACCCTTCACCAGTCCTGTAGTAAGAGATATCACAGCCGGTGCAGCACTTAGTACATTGGTTGTGATTGTGGCTACAAGTTGGATCCCAACTCTCAAAGGCTGCAAAAGAAAAAAATTAAACATTCTTGGTTCATGCATGCAACAGTACTGAAGGATAATAAATAGACTTACTTGGATTTACAATTGTGATGCTTTCTTGTGCTTCTTCAAACAGATTTAAGTGAGCCTCTAAAGCATTGTCGGGAGAGAAAAAAGGCATAACAGTACAGCTCTGGGAGCAAGTCTTGGAGACAAACTCAGAGTTTGCATGATATTTGCCTATCTGATGATCAAAGCAATGGCTGTTCCCCTCCAGTGGAAAAGGAAGAGCTGCTATGAGAAGCAACAAGAGAAAGTGGCGTGAACAATGCATCGGTCTTTGCCTTCAAATGTACTTTAAGAGAGTGTGCATAAACTTTTGTATTGTAGGTTAGTTTCACTTTCACTTTCGATCTTTCAACTAAGGCTTTATTTTTAACCCGCGAACCTGTCTTAAAATGGCTGCCCCTGGTAGGGATCACAGGGACAAGTACAACTGCGAATTCATCTTCAGGAAGATCGAGATCCTTCGAAACGAAGAAAATGAATTGGGTCGTGGAGCATATGGTGCTGTTTATCGAGCTCAATGCGATTCTCTCCTTTGTGCAGCAAAGTGTATACACGAGGTACACAACTTAGTCTATGTACATATGTATATATATATCTGATACCATGCTTTGCCAGTCTTAGTAACTAATATGTAGCTAGCTTTAAATATATGTTGTGTATCAAGTTTCAATCAAAATTATTAAAACTTTTTTGTTGCTGGAAGTTGCTGGGAAAAAGCCCCTGTAGGGTATAGATAGTCAGGCGGAGCCTGCCTCTCGCGGAAAAACGGAGAGTCAGGTTCAGTACGGTAGCTAGTTTTGTGTCACGGGTGGAGCTGACAGCATGCATATAGGTGGGGCTGAAAATGAGCACCACCCATACGCGTGTAAACATGACCGTCGTTGTATGTTTAGGCTGTGGTAAAGACTTAAGCAAAGAGAGCAAAAACAGATGTGATCCAGCAGCAGAAAGGTGCAGAGATGTGATAAATTACTGAATGGTCAATAAGACTTTGAAGAGACATATAACACAAAGACTTTCCATAGCCAGTGGGTAGCACTATGAAAACATCTCTTCCTTCGAGGAAAGCCTTGATAGCTGCCAACTGCTCCTCCTTTAAGACATAGTTCAGCTTTCTAAACACCATTTCCTTTACATCCATTTTAAAATAATTTATGATAATGTTATTCATGTCTTGTGTGGGTGTTATTTGGGTCATTGTGACTCATTTCCTGCTAGCGCAGAAATCCTGCGCTTGACACAAAACTAGCTACCGTACTGAACCTGACTCTCCGTTTTTCCGCGAGAGGCAGGCCCCGCCTGACTAGGGTATAGAATGACTAGCTGAGAGAGTTCTCCATTTTTATATTTTTTTTCTGATGCATATGCATGTTTTATGTTGTGTAGCAAGTTTGAGCTAATTTCGATCACAATTGGATTTTTAGGTATTTTTAAAGTTACTCAAAAATTGGGCCAAAGTCCCCGTACTACAGTACAGGATCTTTTCCCAAATTTTGCCGAAAATGACAAGGAGAGAATTCTTAATTTTTATAATTTTTTTCTGATACGCATGGATGTTTTTATGTTGTTTATCAAGTTTGAGCTGATTCATATATTAATTGGATTTTTTATGAATTTTTAAAGTTACTCAAAAATTGGGCCAAAGTCCCTGTACTATAGTACAGGGTCTTTAGCCAAATTTCGCCAAAAATGACAAAGAGAGAATTCTTCATTTTTATAATTTTTTTCTGATACATATACATGTTCTTATGTTGCTTATCAAGTTTGAGATGATTCCGATTACAACTGACTTTTTTATTATTTTTATTTTTTATAGATACTCCTTGATGATCCAGATCCTGAGGCCAGACGCCATCAACATGAGAGTTTCCACCGAGAGTGCGAAGTGATGGCTAGTATGAAGCACCCAAACATAGTCCAGTATCTTGGCTATTATGTAGACCCACACAATCACCAGTCTTGCCTCCTGATGGAGTATGTTGACGAAAACCTCCACTCTTATCTTAGCAGGCATCTCGAGGAAGGCCGCGAAGTTCCTTATCACACGTCCGTTGATTTTGCGCATGATATATCCATGGCACTTGATTACCTTCACAAGAATCACAGGATGCATTGTGACCTCTCCTCTAAGAATGTTCTCATTTTGGCCGGAACGAGGGCAAAGGTCACCGACTTTGGTCAGTCGGCCCTCGTCCTTCCCGAGTTAGATTACCGAGTCCATGACATGTGTCCCGGTAACGTGTTGTACATGCCACCCGAAGCTCTGAGGACCCACCCAACCTACGACTCTTCACTGGATACTTTTTCATTTGGGGTTCTCCTCATTGAGATACTCACTCGTGAGTTTCCTGCTCCTACCGACAGTACAAGACTCATGCCTGAATTCGGCCCTGGGGGGAGTGATGCTATAGTGCCAGTGAAGGAAAAGGATCGGAGGAACCTCCACATAGCACTGATACACCCGCACCATCCTCTGCTCCAGATTGCCCTCCACTGTATTGAAGATGAGGAGCATAAGAGACCTCCTTTTAGTGATCTTACCGACCGTCTCACAGATATTAAAGTTTTGCCCGACTACAAAGAGAGCCAAAAGAAGCACCCCGGTACCTCTAGACCCCAACTCTCTGACGACTGGTCGCCATTTAATAAAGCACGCATCAGAGACCTAGAAAGTAAAATTGAGCAGCTGGAAAAGTACAACGGCTTACTCCAAGGGCACGTGGCCCAGCTGGAAATGGCAATGGAAAAGAAAGATGCCATACTTGAGCAATTCTCCAATGAGCAGAGAGGGGCTAGAGGAGCAGGGCTAGGAGGGGCAAGCCCTTTTAATTCAATTGGATCAACAACTAACAGACCGTCGCCCGCTATGGAGAGATCATTGAGCAATACTAGTAATGCCTCTAGCAATCCTCCATCTTTGACACTAGCCCCTCAGCCTCTCCCTGTCCCTCAGTTCAATGTAGGCAATAAGACCCTCGCCTGGTATCCTTGCAGTCGGTTACCCACAGGGCTCTACAGTGGTTCGGCCATTAGCATCAAAGACAAAGTATATGTAAGCGGTCAAGGGCTCACGGCTATATTTGAGTATGATCCGGTGAAGAATACATGGCTTCCTCTTCCACCTGCACCAACAGCTAGTTTTGTTCTAGTCTCCATTAGAGGCGTACTCTCAATAGTAGGCGGATACACTCCTCAGGCTTATAGCGATGCTGTATATTCTCTGGTCACTGTTGGGAATGAGCAAAAATGGACGTCTACCTATCCTTCAATGCAAGAGCCTCGTATCAACGCTGGGGCCATTTCAACCAACGACTACCTCATAGTGGCCGGGGGTGAGATACAGGCACCGCGGAACAGGTTCATATCTTGGAACGTCGAGATGCTTCACTTTGACTCCAAAGTTTGGCAGACGGTTGATAAGCTCCCGAAACCAGCCAAGAGGATCTCAATGGTCATCTCTGGCAACCACCTCTACATTGCTGGAGGCGTCACGCGAAATAACCAGCCACTCAGGGAGTTGTTTCACACTCCTCTCGGCGACCTTGTCAATTCTGCTACTTCTAATTTTGCTAGTCGTGCCTTTAGGAGTGGTAACTGCTGGGGTGCTGTGGCTATGCCTCAGGTGTACTCTACCATTGCTGTGTTCAATGGTCAGGTATTGTCTCTTGGCGGGTGGGACAATCAACCTTCTCTCTCTATTCATTCCATGAATGTTGACCCACGGACCAGACAGATCACCTCCTGGTCTCCTGTTGGAAAGCTTCCCCTTGCTCGTTTTGATGCTATGGCTACCATGCTTACTGGGAACAGGCTAATGGTTATTGGTGGTCGTGGGGCCGTACCAGGAAAGGCTGGAGAGCAAATACTTGATGCAGCTGAGATTGCTATACCAGTTGCATGATTTGAATAATTGTGGACCTCTCCCTGTGTGACATAAAACTTATAGTATTCTTTGATTTTGTACCTTTTATACTCTATTTGTTAGTATGCTGTGTGAATCTTTGAAAAATTGAAATAGACTTGATAATATAAAAATGGGTGACAGGACTAGGTGGAGTGATCCTAAAACCAATCCTTGTTTAAAGGTATACTGATACTCCATTGCTAGTTTAACTGCTTCCAAAGTTTATGCAGCAGCTGTAGTCTACTACTAATGTTATGCACGCTGTTTTTGTAGGAGGCAAATGATTCTTACAAGTGTATGGATGATAACAATTATAACAGAGATGCTTGTCTGGAATACTTTAAAATGTATAAAGATTGCAGAAAGAAAATGGTAAACTCAAATGTAACACAAATGCATAGACAAAAGCTTTACTATAATTGAATTGTCTAGTCAGGCGGAGCCTGGCTTTATACTAGTTATATGTATCTATTCTGAATCTTTTTTTCAGAATTTGGCACGGAGAGAAGGGAAACCATTTGAATCAATAAAGTAACATTTTTCTTAGTCTCGCTATATTAGTGAATGGACAATCATTATTTATATATTTTTGAAACATATTTGATCTAAAAACGTGAGTTATGTATATAATAGGTGTGGCAGCACATTATGTTTGCTAGGCAAAGTCAACTTCATAATTGCAAGCTACATGCTCTGATAAGTGGCCAGGCTACTATTAACAAGTGCTTGTCAGTTGCAGCACAATAATTAGTGAATTGTAAACATGTTATTTGTGCACTAGTAGCTTGTTACTCTTCCTTATTGTACAAACATTGTTAAAATTTTATAGTTTCCTCGAATGATAGATATTTTGATAGTAATCCTTTATGTCAGCTTCCTTCTATCAAGAGTACATAATTTTTCCTCGAATGATAGATATTTTGATAGTAATCCTTTATGTCAGCTTCCTTCTATCAAGAGTACATAATATTATGTACTCTTGCTTCTATATATGGGCTGTAAATAGTACCACCTCATTGCTGTGTTAGTCTGATAGAGGAGAGATGATGATGAAGTCTTTTCTCCTTATCTCTCTATTAGCTGCAAGTATTACTGTACTACAGTCTGCTACTGTTGTATATGTGTCTGAGAATGCAAGCAATGATCCATCTTGTCTTGATGGTGGAGAGTCTCAACCTTGCTCTAATCTGACACTAGTCCTGGATTATATTCGTTCTCAATCCAACACTGAGGTTTACATCAAACCTGGTCACTATGTGTTGTCCTCAAATGTTCGGCTAACATTTGAAAAAGTGGAGAATGTACTTCTAAAAGGAGATGGTGAAGGAGCTATTCACATTACCTGCAAAGGGTATATGTCCGGATTGTCTTTTATAAACTCAAGCAATATCTCCATTGTTGGTATATCTTTTGTTGGATGTGGAACGGAGCACGATAGTACCAGTTTAATATTTCCTACTCACGGTTTGTATAATTTTTACACTTTCTTTGCTTCCCTTTACTTTGAAAGTTGCTTTGATATAAGCTTGGACACTATATCTGTCAGTG